TCCACCATGATGGAGCAACAGATAGGATCAAGTATCGGCAGATCGAATTTGTCGTTCAGCCACGATCAGAAAATTATTTTTACTTTTGTGGTGGATTTCACTTGATGTAAAGATGCTTAACAAAGAGATCCCTACGTCAATTTTATTCAAAGATGGAGGTCGATTTATGGTGATCCGCGCTGAATTCAGAAATGCTATAATTTATCAACATTCAAACTGCATATACACATACCAAACTCATGTTTCTCAATAAGACAAATATGCATTTATCCTTATAATTATCGACGTTACTATATATATCTCGTAAGTAGACCAGTATATGTCGTCAAAGAAATTGAGTCTCTTAATAGTTTTGGATCCTAGATGATATGATATTTAATAGGCATCACCAGAAAGTAAGATAGGATATAAAAGCGGCATTTATATATAAAACCAATGTGGAAAAACTAATCTTATCCTAGTTTATAGACATAAATAAAAACATATATTTATATATTTTTCGTTTTTTCATATTGGTTTTATATATAAATCCCGCTTTTTTGTCCTATCTTAATTTCTGAGGATGACCAGGCGGGAGCTAATCTGCAGTTTGCTATGGATGCTGACCCCTTTTTGGAAGCAAGGCTGTGTCACTCTTAGTGGGATCATAACATCCTCGTGGGAAATTCAATTAACAGTCCTTACGATACCTCAAGCGACCTGAGTTGATTTCGCTGCTTAGTGAACTACTCTCAAACAACCGAACAGTTTTCACAAACATCGCCTTGGCTTAAGTGATTAATTGCCACTAAATGGCATTCCGGATATTTTCTCTTTAAGTGAAAAAGGATAGAACGGGTAAGGGAATCGCAACCAACTTACGTCGAAAGAGATGGGATCCACTCTGCTGCTTGAATCCGAGCCTCTCTGGTGTCTGTGATCCTCTTTTTCAGCGCTGTCCACCCAGAGGAAGGTTGGATGCAGACGAGGCTGGTCTGGCCCTGCATCTTGCCAACTCTTGAGTAGAGCGGGAATATGATTTGAAGAACCACCTCTCAGTCGGTGGTCGTTAGATTTGCTCTGCTGTATTCGCTGTTCCTCAGTTGCGTTCGACCGGCGGTTATCCGAGTTACTAGTTTTGCCAAAATCTCTAAAGATCGTATGCGGTCTGGACAGCCCATTCCAAATAATGCTGCCAGCACTGTTATCATCAGAGCTGGCGCTACCGCCACTCCCAGCACTAGAGGCTAGTATGAGAGAGGGCAATCTTGGGGTCTCCAGAGGCTCGTCAAAGTTTGCCGAGGGCAGAAGAGCATCTTCTCCGGTATGATGTGAAGCTGTGGGGAGCCGATCAGCTAGCATTCTAGGCTGGATACGCCATTGTGGTAGAGCTGACAAGGGCTGCCAAGCTGTCACGAGGCAAAGAGCCAGGCAAAAGAGGCGTACACGACAGGCAAAAGCAGCAGGACAACTTAAAGAAGATTGCAGGAAAAATAATTAACAATTAAATAATTTCTAATAAGCTGATGTTCATATCCCCAGGCAAATAGTAGGCAAATTTTCGACCATTTTGTAACAGCCCAACCGTTAGAAAATCACTTTTTTTCTGAGCCTTTTGTAATGCATGGAAGAAGATACATTCTTTCCATACATTTTCTGATAGTGTGTGTTCAAAAAGTCCTCTCTTAACTAAGATGGATAGCAAATTATGACTAGACAATGACTCGAAATTGATCGGTTTACGAGCTCTCGACTAGGGCGATAGATGTTTCACGTCTGGAAGCATTCAATCTGAATTTGAAACCTGCGGGAAACGCTGAGGATATGTGGACGAAGTCGTTGCTGATTTCAATCAAGATTAAGAAGTACATTTAGCCCCTTTCTATGTACATATTAGGCGACCTTCTGAATTACCATATTTTATATTTCCCTGAGTTTTACTGGGGCACGCAGGTATGGATGCATCTAAATTTATTTTAGATTGATCCAAAGTTTAGGCTAAATCGACATTTCTGTTCGATCAGTGCTTTAGGCGGTTGATTCGGCAACACTATGAATTTTTTAAAGGTGCTTTTGTTACAGGCTCCCTGAAGTATACATCTCAAAGTATGCATTCCACAGTCTTCACTCTCTGCAGAAAGCATCAACCAGTTATCTGACGTAACAACAAGCATTTGCTACATCATAAATGAGGAAGCTTTCACTAGAAAGGTTCTGAACTGGCCGGTAATCCGGGTATTTAATGCAGATCACACCATGCTGGCGGTGGACTTCCAATCACAGGAAGTGAGTATGTACGGAGTTGGCTAAAGTGTATATTTCAAGGGGCCTGCGTAAGAATAACTTTTTGAATACATAGTTTGGCGAAATTCAGTTTCAATACGTTTCATCTCCGGAGGCAATATTCAACTAGAGATGTGAATTTAGTCTGGAACCAACATTTTATCTAAAAG